TGTATCCAAAACCCTATATTGGTTGCTATGATAGTATCATTTCAAGTAAAAAATTTAATTTCATTGAGTGATTTTATTTTTTAACAATTTTTTTTATTAATCATTCATAATAATTAAAAAGCTGCAAAGGCTATTATATATTTTTTCTAAATTGTGCATTTGCAATATGCTTTTAACTTTAAGGTAGTGTCCAAGTTGCCAGAATATGTGATGGAGGCACTCTTTTAATCGATACCAAGGGCTTTGGAACAATTACAATATTAGGAGCAAACTATGGTCGAACCTCGTCAACTCAATGTGGTAGCAACGCTCGTTTTAACAACAATTGTAATAATCAACAAAAGTCACTCCAAGTTGTTAAAAGTCTCTGTGAATCTCAAACTTCTTGTTCTGTTAAGGTTTCTAGTAGTGTGTTTGGTGGTGATCCATGTGTAGGAACAGTCAAATATCTTGAAGTGAACTATACTAGTAAGTGAATTTAATTATTTTTTTATTAGTACTTGTGTTTTCTTGTAGTAGTTTTATTCATTAGTTATAAGTTCTAATTTTTTAAATTGTTTTTTTTTCACCATTATTAAACATAATTTAAGATTTTAAAAATTTAGGACATCATGAGTTTTTTTTTTTTTTTTTTTACCAGCTTATTTTTACCAGATCTGGGCGTTTAGTAAAAATTTAACATAAAATGAATTTCCTAAATACATTATCTATTTTGAAAAACTCCTGCTAATAGAATAAAATAGCATTATGTGATGTTCTAACAGTCTTTTTTCCTTAATAGTTCCATTTTTTATAATTTAACTTTTTGATTATATATTTAAATTTTTTATATATATTAAGATATTTCAATAAGATATTTCAATAAGAGTGAAGTATTAAGAGAAATAACATTTTAAATCTTTTTGAATTTTTTTTTTTATAACACAAACCTGTAAAACATGTAAAAGTTGTGTTAAATTTGCCATGTTGCAGTGGTTAGAGTTCTGACTCAGAACCTAGAGGTCAGATGTCGGCTCCAGCCCAACATTATTTTACTAACAAAGTTAATAAAACTTTTGTGTTTCCACTTTTAGTTAAAAAATTTTATTTACTATATAAATAAAAGTTTCACATTAAATTAATTACAGTTAATTAGTTATTTACTATATAAATAAAAGTTTTACATTTAGAGTTAATTAAAAAGTTTGTTTTTTTAACATTTTTGCTTAAAGCAGTTTTATTCATTTATATTTGAATAAAACGTAAAATAAAACTCTTTCGTTGGATTTTCCAAAAATTTTATTTAAAAATTGATTAACACTTCCGTGTTTTCATTTTTGTTAAATTATTTTGTTTTGAATTTAAATAAAACGTTCTTTATTCCATTTTTATTTTAATTGTTTTGTTTACTATTTAAATAAAAAGTTAACATTTTGAATTTAATTAAAACGTTCTGGTTATTTGTAATATTTTATTTAGAAGTTAATTAAAATGTTTGTTTTTTATTCAAATTTTAATTAACTTATTTAGAATTTAAATAAAATTAATATTTTATATTAGTTAGTTTATTAGAAATTTAAAAAAAAAACGAAATTAAAAAAAAATATTTTGTTTCAAATTAGAATTAAAATAAAGCTTGTTTTACTGTTATTATTTTAATCATTTTTTTTAGACTTTTATTTTAATTATTTTATTTATACTATCAAAATTTAAAAGGTTTACCTTTTTTTTTAAGCTTCCACAGTATCGATAGGCACTTTAGTTGGACTATCAGATACAGAAGCCACTAATAGAGGTTATGTTTTTAAGAACAACCCTGTGGTCCAACCATTGAAAACAGGTAATCCTACTTTAGATGGAAAGTTGCAACTACGAATAGCTATTAATACTGCTCAATATGGTAGAACATTTCAAGATAGGTAATTTGATTTGTTTATGTATATATATATATATATATATATATATATATATATATATATATATATATATATATATATATATATATATATATATATATATATATTTCTGTGCGTGTATATATGGAAGATCTACAGGAGCCTCATTAAACAATGTAGCTATTTCTTTCTGTCTGGCATAGTTTTATTAGGCTTTCTTTTTTATGTAAAATTAATTTTCTGAAATATTTTTTAGAGTTTATACAACATATACAAATTATACTGATAAAATATGTAATAAATAAAATTTCAGTTTTCTGAAATTTTTTTTCATCAAGATTTAAAAAACTTATTATAGATTAATAGAGTGTATTAAAATATAAAAAAAAAGTGACCAATGAAACTTATTTTTTTTTTTAAATTGTAGAAATAGCTACATTGTTTAATGAGGCTCCTGTAGATCTTCCAGATATACACGCACAGATATATATACATGTTTTAACTAAATTTTTTTTATAAATTTAATTATTTTTTTATTTGTAACTACTTGCAAGTATACAAGTACATACAGTAATAACCCTAATGCCATTTTTTCTTTTTGAAAATGAGTTTTAGGAAGTAATTGTTTCAGTTTCCAGTGGTGTCTCATAATTAAAGTAAATGCAACTATAAGGCAATGTTAATTTCAAATGTTTAATTGTCTTTAAAAACTGAATAACTTTTTTCAATGAAACTAGATGACTTGGAATTAATTAAGGTCAGGTTAATTGGAGTTCAGGTCAAGACAGGATATGATTACTCCTTTACTTATAACATTTAATCCAGTACACATATCTCCCACATGTTCTGCAGCCTACTAGTACTCACTTTTAGAATTGGAGGGCTAGGAGAAGTTTACTGACTTGAAATACTTTTCTGCTTTTCTTGGTTTAGTAAGTGTTGTGTCTCAATAAAAATAGTTCTTGGTTCTTGGTTTTAAAAAGATTTTTTAGGAAAAAACTTCAGAAGTAAACATAAAATATTTGTTAACCAGTTCTGCTTCCTTTCTTCATCTTAAAAACTAGTATAAATGTAAACCTGTTTTAAATTGTTTCCTGTTTGGATCTTCTTGATTCTACTCATTGGTTTTTTGCTTGTGCCTCTTTTCTAGAAGCTATGCAGCTCTTTCTGATATCTCCTAAGTAGTATACAGCTCTACAACTCAAAGTCTGTGTTCAAAGTCTAACAAGAAATTTTACTTAAGCAGCAACCAAAGTATTTTTAGTAAAGGAAAAGAGATGCAACCTAACGCAGATAGGAGACTTGTGCTTGCATAATATATTCATTTTATATGTAGATAAAACTAAAGCAGGTCTAATTTCATATAAAATGCGTTTTTGCACTAATAGAGAATAACTTCATGAGAAGGCTTAATTTATGAGTATACTGAACAGTTTATACATAATATATTATGAATAACTTAAAATATGACAACATAATTTTATACAAAGACAGAAATAGGATTTTCAACTGTAAAAATTAGAATTAGGTTTAAGAAATAACAGCATAGCAGATTCTAATTTTGAGGTAAATTTGAATGAGATATCACATATAGCATAATGAACTGGATTCAGTAAGATTGCTTCCATTTATCAATATAATATATATAATCAACATTATTTTGATAACTGAGTTTTGATTAGATTTTTGATAACTTGAGTTTTGATAACTGAGATCATTGAGGCAAGTTTACATCTAAATGATTAAAAAGTAATGACTTTTGAGTGGTAGAAAAAAATATATGGTTGTATGATTGTTTTATTTTCATGGAATAAAACTGAAAATCATGTCGTATCATCAGCAAGTAGAGCCAATTTAGAAATAAGATTTTATTAATACAGATGTAAAGCAGTATGAAATCAAAGTTTAAATCTTGTGGTACCACAGAGATTACTGGAAATAAAGATTAGTGTTACCCGCCTCGGCGAGAGAAAATGAGTGTTAAAGCGGAGAAAAGCTCTCTTAAAACAAACATGGCAAACCATGCGAGCTGCTCCTCTAAACAGCTTCTTATGAGAGCATTTGGTTATGTGTACAATCTATCTGTTTATTCATTAAAAAAATTGCTTATTGGATATAAAATTTGGTTTTATACTTGTTACAAGTATATATTTGTAACATTAATGTTATAAGAAGATATAACAAGCATATATGTATATATCATAATAATATATACATAACAAGCATATATGTATATATCATAAGAATATATACATAACAAGCATTATATATTGCGCTGTGAAAAAGTTCTTTAGGTGAGCGTTGTCTTTGGGTTTTCACACTAGTTGTTCATTTATTAACAACATTACTTATTTGATAAAAAATTTGGCAAAGAGCTACAAAAGTTTTAACTGCTTATAAAAAATGTTTTATATTTTCTTATTGTAATAGAATGCAGACATTTTAAGAACTATTACAACAATCAAAAATCCCACTATAAAAGTTCATATGTATTTAAGTAATTAACATATAAAATGTATAATTCATTGAATAAAGTAAAAGTTATTATGCAATAAGGGTTGGTCCTTTAAGTACGTACACTCAGATTGAGGAAAGAGGTTTTGCAACTAGCATGTATGAGATGAAGGGAAGGTGATCAATAATAAAAGTACAGAGACACTAATGTAAAAAAACATAAAATGTTGGGTAGGTAAGTTACAAGCATAGATACTTTTTGGGAGGTGAAGGTTAATTAAACAAGCGTATAGCAAAATGCAGGAGGGGGGGTTATTGAAATTTAGGCATACATACTTTATAAACGACCCCTAATTTAGAGCGTAATAATTTTATTTTTTATCAGTTAAATAATTTTATATTTTATCAATATAATTTAGAGTGTAGTAATTTTATATTTATCAGTTAGTCCAATCAAAAACATTTGAATCTGAGCCCTTAATTTTTTTTTTTTTTTTTTTTTTTTTTTTTGCAACTAATGTGCCTTGAAAAGCATTCTAGTTTTTAATGCAATTAATTTTTTTTTTTATAAAAATGACTTTTTTTATTTTAATTACATTTTTTTAAATAAAAAACATATTGTAAACTGTTCATTTATTGATGGTATAAAAGTCAAGTAGAATATTGTTACTGGTTCGAGGAACAATTGTATTTAAGCCTTCACCCAATAATGCTATAAAAGGTTTCTCTCTAAACTTTAGTAAGGAAATTTCATATAATGCATATAATATAATAAGGATACACAAATATATCAAAGAATTACTCCTTTTTTTTACAAACAAATTGTCTTTTGTATGCATTCATAATATGTACCATTTGATCAGCCTAATCTGCTCTTCATATGTTTTGATTGTACCACAGGTGTGTGCGCCATCAATATTTAATCACTGCCTACGAGGTTACAATCAACAATTAACTAAGCAAGTAGTCATAAACTGCAAAGAGAAGAAGCATTTCTTTCCTTTAACTAATTGTGGTTAATGAATTTGAACACACTTTCGTCAAATGCAGTCTATGCAGTCTTGGTAAATGCCTGCAAAGATCAAATTAATGGAAAAAGAACAAATAATAGACACAGTGTGTGTCTTTAAACTTTCAGCATAGTAGAGCCTGGTGTTGCATTACTTCATTAGAAATTGATAAGTTTTTTATTGTATTAAATATGCAATATATATTTCTAATTTCTCAATAAACAAATTCAAATTCATTTTCTTCATACCTCTTCTGTTCATCCCTTTAACTTTTTTTTAATGTGTGCTAATCATATAAACTCTCTTTCATAAAAGTTATATTTTTTGATAATTTTTAACGGTTGCTTAGAACTTTTTGAAGTTCTTGTGCTTTTTATATTAAGATTTTTAGAAATTTCAAATTTTGAGTTAAAAATAATATTCTAAATTAATTATTTATTATAATTGTGAAGTTTATTCAGAACAACTTGCTTTTTATTTTTGCTTTTTTTATTTGGAATGCGCAAGGGGAAAAAATAGCAGATGGAAGAGGTATTTTGAACAAATTTGCCAAAGTTATCTCTTCTTATTTGTCATTAAGGTTGTTAAGTCATGTCATTAAGTCTTGTTTATCTTGTTACCTTTTCTTATTTGGTTTGTATCTTTTTTTCTTTATGGTAAGAGGGAAAAAAGTATTTTATGTTGTATTCTAATATTTTTAAAAAGAAAATATTTTTGAAAAGTAAGAAATTATTTTATTTTAGGAGTCATCGGTTTGCAATCAGACCACGCCCTGCTGAATACAAAAATTCTAATATATACAACCTGAATGTTCGTGGTAAACGAGGAAATATTGTCCAAGTATTTCCAGCAGTTGAATATGATTTTGTTCCTAGTCGTCTTACTCTATCAGCTTCAGATGCTATACACATACAGTAATTATAATTTATGATTTATATATATATATATATATATATATATATATATATATATATATATATATATATATATATATATATATATATATATATATTTATATATATATATTTATATATATTTATATATATATATATATATATATATATATATATATATATATATATATATATATATATATATATATATATATATATATATATATATATATATATATATATATATATATTCTTTTTTATTACTATATTATTATTGTTATCCAGCATATATATTATTATTATTTATTTTGTTTTATTACTAATTATATTATTATAGTTAATTAAAAATGATTCATAATAAAATATTAGATTTTTCTCTTGATGAAAAATTAAAAATTTTTTTAAAAATTAGAATTTGTAAAAATTGTATTTATACAATTCTTAAAAAAAGATGTAAATTATATTTCTAAAACTGTTTTTGTCTTAGTAATTCTAATTTTTATCTTAGTAATTCTAATTTTTGCTTAAACTTCTTATTTTTTAAAATTTTTGAAATTAAAACCATATTTTAACAATACCCATGTTAAAAAACCATATTTTAACAATACCCATGTTAAAAAACCATATTTTAACAATACCCATGTTAAAAAACCATATTTTAACAATACCCATGTTAAAAAAGTTGTGGTATCAAGTTTAGTGAGATGTTTAACAAAAGAAGTTATGAGTTATGTTGATTGGATAAATGATTTATGACTTTTTTCATTGATATGCATGACTTTTTTCATTGATATGCTGGCTGAAAACCAATTTTAATTTTGACATTAGCAATCATTCAACATGTAGATTCAGCTGAGTTAATGCTTGCCAGTTTCAAAAAACCATGTGCTCTAGTTTGCATGGATTTAGATATGTTTCATTTTATCCTGCCACCTCTTTTAATAATATAAATCATCTTTTTTTCAATCTAATTTTTTTTATATCTCCTGATGAAACTGAAATTAAAATTGTTTATTCATAAATCAAAATTTAAATCAACAAGCAAACAAACATGGTAAAAAAAATAAAAATAAGTTTTGATTGGTTGATTTGATAAAGTGATACCGCACAGGGCATGATGGTATTATTTGAGACACCACTATGTTGCTATGATTTGAGACACCACTATGATGATTTTATTTGAGACACCACTGTGATGATATTATTTGACACACGCAATGTCCTTGTTTGGGTTAGAAGCAAGTCAAATTGAGTTTTGAAAATGTAAAGTCAACTTCTTTTGCATTTTTGGTTTTATATTGTTGGATCAGGTTGCCCCTTTTTTGCTGCTCTTCTAGAGTGATAATATCAATAATAAAAGTCTATCCTCATTTATTTGTTATGTTTGATTTAAGCTATCACCTTCATTGCTCACTATTGAATGCATTCAAGTGTTTTGATATCGTTTTGTAGGTGGGGAGACCAGGTTTGGATGGCATTCTTAAGATAGCATACTAATTAAATATGATTGAACAAAATGGCATTTGCAAATTGTTGAAAGCTATCCTACTAATTGTTTTCCCCCTTTAAGCTCTGTATAAACACATACCACTTTCATTTTATCTTCATGATTAAATAGAATCCTTTAATGTTTCCTTCTCAATCGCTTTTAAACCATGTCTCAGTCACACCGACCATGTCTCAGTCACATTAACTACATTTGTAATGTTTAAGTACAAAGGAGAAAATGAAAGTGTTTTACAAAGTACACATGTACTGTACAAAGTACACATAGCACACTTGTACTGTTTAATTACCAAATCATCTTATTACTTAATCTAATTTATTGGAGTTTCACAATATGGTTGCCATGGATGCAATCAATTTAAAAACATTAAAATTGCAATAATACTAATACTTCGGTTATATAAAATTTAGTTGAATTCTTGCATGAATTCTTTGCTGTTTTTGTGAAATAATCCTGGTTGCAGAGTCCTGTATGCAATTTAAATGTGTTGTATGAACTTTGTCTAGCACATGTATTAGCTACAAATAATCCTAAAAAATTTTTTTATTGATAATTTTTTTTGAAAGTATTCACATTTTCTGAATGAAATTTGCAATTTTAAGTATATGGATTTTAGTTTATTTGTCAACATATTAAATAAAAATTAAATAAATAAATAGTAAATTGGAAAGTAAGTAAAGGTGTTTTGCTAATAAATAGATAATATGAAAATTTGTGTTGCTTTAGCACTTTATTTGTGTTGCTTTTGTTTAATTTATCTGTAATAAAGATTATCTTTGAAATGACCCTCAATATATATATTTTTTCAAGATGGACTGGATCTAATACAAATCCAAATAATAATGCTGGACAAGGCACAGCTGGAACTGATCGCTCAAACATTATTTTATTAAAAGATAAAAATTACCCAGAAGGAAATCTTGGGCAAGCTGGTTTACCTGTTAATCTAAATGGTCAATACGGAAATAATTATCCCATGCTTTTAAGCACATCAAAAAGTTTTCTAGGTTTTGGTTTGAATGATGTCAAACAATTAGCTTTTTCTATTCCAAGTATGTTATTTTATGTTTACTTATAAGTATATATATTTTAGGGGCAGGGATGCAGAGTCTCAAAAAGGACTCCGGATTTGAACGTCACAAAAAAGATTACTTCTTCCTATTTTTTGGTATCCAGGAGCTCTAAAAATATAATTAAGTTTATGGACTATTATTAGGAAAAAAATAAACACTTTTAGGTAAGCGAAACAATCATTTTTTGAACCCGGAGTTTTTAGTTAAGTTTCAATTCATTAAATTTCATGAATTTTTTTCTTATAGCAAATCATAAGTCAACAAACATGTTTAGAGCTTCTGGACACTACAGACTTCTGGATACTACAGAAAAAGTAGAGATTTATAGCTGGAGTCCTTTTTTGGGACTCCGCATCCCTGATTAGGAGTAGACTAAAAAGCATATTTTATTTTTTTGAAAATGGCATAGCGGCAAAAGATGAACTTTTACTTGCATTAACTTAAAATGGTATTACTTTCCATATCAAAAAACAACTCTCCCACCAAAGCAGATGAAAATTTAGTCCCAGCTATTTAAAAAATGCAAAAAGTTCAAGTTTTTGCATTTATAGTAGGGGCAGGGTCACTTAACAAAATTTCAAAAATACCATTTTTTGTAGCTTGATCTATCAAATTTTAGATTATGTTTTGTTTTTTGGTAAAAATTTTGGGAAGAGTTGATCTTAACCATTTGCAATCATATGTATATATTTGAAAGGTTGGGGGGGAGGGCTTTTTAATTTTATTTTCATGGACTTTAAATATAAAACATTTTTGTAATTGTACATTTTTTATTTAAAAAAGACTATTTTATGGTTTTTATTTAAGATTTTTTATCAGTTGTTTTAAATTTTAAACAATGATAAGCATTAAGTTTGCTTCTCCGTCTTATTTTGTTTCTAGATGTTTCAATGGGTTGTTGAAAGTGGGATGAGGGGTGAGAAGAGGGGGAGGAGTCAAAAAAGAATTTTTGTGAAATTTTTATAATTTTTTTGTAAATAAAAAAAATGTCAACGAGCAATTGTTAAATCAAAATATCTTATTCTGAAGTTTTTCATGTTGGAAAAAGAATTGAAATTATATATAATACATTACACATAATACATTACCAACAACACTTGCTTATTAAGAAAACTGTATTACAGAAGTTATCCGATGTGTTAATTTTCCAAACATTTCTACAACTAATATAGCTTCATGTTTATTTTTTACGGTCTAATGTATTGAAATAGGAGGTTGTCTTATGGTAAAAAAGTGACCATGCGCCCTTTATTTGGTGAAGAAAATACTGACTAACATAAATTTACAATTCAGTCCAAATTTAAACTGAATTAATAATATAGTAATATGTTTTTATGATAAAAATATCAATATATAAATGTTTTTAGTTACAATATCTTTAATGACTTCTTTTACTTTTGAAATGCCATTTAGAGACAAGAATGTTGACTTAAAAAGGAATAGAAAGAATTTAAACAAACACAAAACCATAAAGACAAAAATGTAGTTTTAAAAGAGGATGATTTATTTGATGAAAAATAAAAAACTTATCATCTTGAAAGATAAAACACAAGTTTCAAAAAGTAGACAAGAAGATGTATATTTTCTCAATGATCAGAAAGGATTGCATGTTCAAAAAATGTCACATAAAAAAAATTTGCAAAATAAAAAGTGAAATAAGAAAAAAAATTAAAGATTATAAGACCCCATTAAGAAACAAACAAAGGTTGGTTAGTAAAAAATTTGAGGAGACAATAAAATGTTTAGATACTTGCGAAAATGGAGATAATAAGATAGATAGTATCTCGGGTATCTAAAAATGACATTACTTTAGACAAAATGGTTGAAAACCAGTTCATCTAACTGGAACATATTGCGGCTAAGTTCTATGTGTATATATCGCTATATATTATATACTTATTTCCAGATTATAAAATATTTTTTAAAAATTTGTCACTGGTCTTTTTGTTCTAATTTTAGTCAAGACCTCATTGAAACTTTTAGAAACAAAAGAAGACGGAAAAGTAAACTTGGTTGTAGTTTATCATTGTTTAAAATTTAAAACAACTGATAAAAAATCTTGTATAAAAACCATAAAATAGTCTTTCTTTAAATAAAAAATGTACAATTAAAAATGTTTTATATTTAAAATACATTAAAATAAAATTAAAAGGCTTTCCCTCCCTCCCCCCCTCCATTCTCTCTAATATACACATGATTCTCCTAAATTAATCTAAATTAGGGGTCGTCCATAAAGTACGTATGCCTGAATTTCAAACCCCTCCCCCCCCCCCCTCCTCCTGCGTTTTGCTATCCTTCACCTCCCTAAAAGTATCTATGCTTGTAACTTACCTACCCAACTCTTCCCACCATTTTTACCAAAAAATAAAATATCGTCTAAAAGTAGATAGATCAAGCTACAAAATTAACTCTCATGGTATTTTTGAAATTTTGTGAAAGTGACGCTGCTCCTACTATAAATGCAAAAACTTGAATTTTTAGAAGGCTTTTTTGTGTTTTTAGAAGGCTGGGATTAAATTTTCATCTGTCGATTTGGAAAAAAGTATTATTATTTTAAGTTAATACAATGTATATATATATATATGTATATATATAGTTAGTAGAAAATCACTTTACAAAAATTTTTTTCATTTTACACTGTGTTTCATAAATAAAGACTCATCAGAAATCTTACTTTATTAATACATTTTTAAAATTGTATTAATAATAAAAATACATTTTTTAAATTGTTTAAACATGATGATCGCCATAAGCGTGAAACTCGATGTCATGTTTCTTTAACTACGAGGTGTTATTTTTTAATTTTATTTAATTTTACAGAATATATATATATATATATATATATATATATATATATATATATATATATATATATATATATATATATATATATATATATATATATATATATATATATATATATATATATATTTATATATATATATATATATTGTTGCGTTAATTATTTGCGTTAATTATTTTTTTTTATAGATGGTGTTAGTTCCGATCCGTTACTAAATGATGCTGCAAAGTACTTCGATTTAGGCCCTCGTCCCTTAAAAAATGCAGTAGGAACTTATTATTATATGTGTACTAGAAATAATAACTTTTCTAATCGCAGTCAAAAAGGTAAAATAGTTGTTTTGCCGCAAACAAATAATCCCACCTTGCCACAGACAAATCCCGGTGTTTCGCCGCAGATAAGTGGTGGTAACATTTTACCACAAATAAATGGCGACTCGCCGAAGTATAATGACAGGTAGATTTTTTTTTAATTTTACATATAAAATATGTTTAAAATTTTATTTTGTGCTTGTTATTCTCTAAAGAATTTTTTTTTTGTTTATGATAGTTTTGTATTAAATGACTTATTTTTTATAGAAGAGACCCCAAAAAGAAGCAGTACCACCAGCCTAAGTTTGTTTTAACACATAAGCGAGAAAAATAAAATGAATAAAACTTTACGTTGAGTTATGTTTATGCAACTAGTAAACCGACGAATTGCGAGTGATATAGTTAAATGTTTAAATGTCTGATAGTTTTTAGTTTTTTATTTACGTTCGCTTTTTTTATGTTTTACATTTAAATTTTACTAACGGATATAATTTTTTTTAGTTTATTTTATCGTAAAAATTATTGTTTAATTTTGTGTTTAATTATATGTACGGTAATTCAAATAAATTTATGAATGTTTAAAAAACCATTGGTTTATTATTTTCCACAATTTCCACAAACGGGACTCTCCTTATGAGGTAAATTTGGAACGTTTTTCTAAAATATGGTAAAAGAATTAAAGTTTGCAAACAAAAACTGAAAAAGACTAGGCTATACCAATTGTTAGATGAGGGGGATGGGGTTTAAAATTAGTCTATAGATTCCCAAACGTAAAATTCTGCTGGATAGTTTTCGAGCACGTTTCATTTTTTCAACCACACGTTTCAATACTAGCCATCTTAGTGTATAAGTGAGCATTGTGATCTAATTATATTAAATCGTCTAAGAAATGTTCAATAGTTACCCTCAAGTGAAACATCAAACTATTCGTTGCGTGAATCGTTCTCTTCGAGTTTCCATCATAAAAATATTTGGTTAATTTAGTTTAGTTGCAATCACGTGGGTTTTTTTTGTTTTATTTTCACCAATCGCGTTTTTCTAACGGACTTAACATTTTAACATAACTGACGACTATATATGATTTTGATGTACCTATAATAATCAGTTCTTTAATTTTTTTTTTTTTTTTTTGTAGAAGGTTTTATCTACGCTTGTTTTTATGAGAAAATTTTACTTTAACTATTTATTTTAATTTGGGGCCGTTGGCATCTCGATACACTATGCGTTAGGATAAGATTTAAAAAAAAAAAAAAAACTGGATAAGAATTAAAGGACTTAATGAACAAATAAAAAGTACATACATATTAAATTAGTCTTAAACATCTTTAAAATTTACACTAACCATTCAGGCTAACCCCTGGACCAGTGATGCAGATGCAGTGCCACTAGATTCTTTAGTTTCTGCCTCACATAACTTTTCAAAACAGCTTGCTATTGATGAATTCACTCCAACATCATCATTATCATCTTCAAAGCAGATTAAATCATATAAAACTTTGTGAACTTAATAAAATAGCATTAACCAGATTTAAACCAGTCAATGAAAAGCTTTGACTTTGGTGCTCTCTACTTTGGATTGCTAGCTCATATCTTTTTTTATTGTTTTACATTTGCGGTACAAAATTGAAATACTTTCCTGATTTCACGGCTGAAAAAACGTCAGTAAAATATTTTTTTTCTAATTAGGGCAGAAACGGCTCCACTATTCGGATAGTAGTTAGGCACATAACATATAACATATCATTGGAAATTTGTTAATTAAAGACTCAAAAACCTTGCTAAAAAAAAAGAGAAGACTGATCGGACGATTGTTGGAGGGGTCAGAGTGTTATCCACAGTTTTTAAAAATTGAAGCCGTAGATGTCATTATCCAGCAGGTAGGAAAAAAAGAGTCAACACATATTAAATAGTACGAAGAAAATTGAAGACAATTCTAAAGAAAAAAATTTGTAATAATGACAAACATGTTTTCTGAACCACAAATAGTAGCTAAGTTTAAAAGAAAATCAGCTTTAACAAACGAGTGACTTTGTTGTCTAAAAATGGATTAACTTGTTTTTTGGAATGGATGAAAGAGTGTAGCCACAAGAGTTGAGCTTGATAACAAATTATTTTCAAAAAATTCTACTTTTTCCTTGGGAGTGGTATTAAGATCATATTCATGTATTAGAGATGGAATATTAGGCTTACTTTTGTTGATTAAACAACTGAAAATTTTACAAGTCTCTGGAAACTTCTGAGATAAAAAACGAGTTTTAGTAAACTGAAAATATGGGAGTTTTACAAAACTTTTATAATAATAAAAAATATTTTTTTTAAAGAGAGTTTTTCTTGTGAAAAAGATTTTGAAAAAATGATAACAATTTGAAATAGCAGCTGCATAAGAAGGTAATAACCATGATAACCATGGGGTAGAATGAGGCTTGTCTTAAAACCGACGAGAAAAAAATAAAAGTTTTTTCATACTTTCTTGTATTGAGAAGATTATGTAGGAGATGTAGTTATCAGCGGAAAGGCAAAAAACTTTAGCCTAAGGACCGTAAAAAGAAATAAAAAAAGAATTCCAGTCAGCTTTATGGTATAAGTAAGTAGTGTGATCATAGAGTGAGTCTTAAGAAGTAGTACGTATGCATGGTATGAACCACCTAAAAAAAGTACGAACGTATGGTCATGGTCTATACCACTTAAGAAAGACAAATCGAAGAGCAAAAAAAGTGATTACGATTGTATTGAAAACAAGTCACAAAGTTATCTGAGTAAGAGATTGAGATATACAAAAATTACGAGCTTAAGTACAAGCGGGGTTGATGGTGCTAGCAGGGCCGGCGCTAGTATTTTTTGGTTTTTGAGATAGCTAACTTCCAGACATGGAGCAAACTCCAAACATATATATATTTATACTTATGTCAAATAAGGATGCTTTGCAAAAAATTGCGATAATTGGAGCTTGGAAACAACATAGCCCCAAAATTTTTGCCTAGTCTGCCCCAAACGTGAGAGCAACAAGTTGATAAAATATTTTTTGTACTATTTTCAACTAGACTAATATTCATCGATAAATTTTAAGTTTTATAGTATAATTTCTTAGTGTTCAAAAATTATTACAATATAAAATTTGCAACCCCCTCAAATTGAGGGGGGTTTAAACATTATATAGTCATAATTTTTGAACGCTGAAGTATTTTACTATGAAACTTAAAATTTATCGATGAATATTAGTCTAGTTAAAAATAGTGCAAAAAATATTTTATCAACTTGTTGCTCTCACGTTTGGGGCAGACTAGGCAAAAATTTTGGGGCTATGTTGTTTCCAAGCTCCAATTATTGCAATTTTTTGCAAAGCATCCTTATTTGACATAAGTATAAATATATATATGTTTGGAATTTGCTCCAAACATATATATCTGGATATTATTATATATATGTCTGGAAGTTAGCTATCTCAAAAATCAAAAAATACTAGCGCCGGCCCTGGGTGCTAGAGCCAAGTCATTAAGAATAATGAGTATTTAAGTTGTCAATAACAACATTATTAACTAATGAAAAAAAGATCAAAAATCACATCAAAGAGGGAGAGAATAACAAAATACAGTCTTGAGAAGGAAAAGAGAACAAAAAGCGAAGAAATGCTAAACAGAAGCACATAAAAAAACAGAAGCACATAAAAAAACAGAAGCACATAAAAAAACAGAAGCACATAAAAAAACAGAAGCACATAAAAAAACAGAAGCACATAAAAAAACAGAAGCACATAAAAAAACAGAAGCACATAAAAAAACACAAGCACATAAAAAAACAGAAGCACATAAAAAAACACAAGCACATAAAAAAACAGAAGCACATTAAAAAACAGAAGCACATAAAAAAACAGAAGCACATAAAAAAACAGAAGCACATAAAAAAACAGAAGCACATAAAAAAACAGAAGCACATAAAAAAACAGAAGCACATTAAAAAACAGAAGCACATAAAAAAATAGTCAGAAAATTCAAAGTTGATTTTATGACAAATAGGTAAATCAATGCACAGTTTACCTTACGTAGTTATAATTAATATAACTACGTAAGTCCCTTACGTAGTTATATTAAATACAGACTAGTCATTAAAATTTTTTTAGCAATTTTGGTTTCTTTTTCCGTTTAAATAAATTTCTTAAAACCTTGTGGACGATTTTGTTGTTATTTCAACTCTGTCTATAAATAATAAAAGTTATTTTGGCAATAATGATTTTTTTGATAAGGAGTGAAACAAGATATACTTTGTTTTGTGAACGATTACGGTAATTTATTGCATTTAAATCAGTTTGATATGTGTTTAAGCTTTTTGCATTTGATAAGAACAAATTTGCTTCATCGACAAATATATATATAATTACTACTTAATGCCATGTTAAGGTATATATATTAAAAATAAATAATGTCCAGATTAGGTGCTAGAAATTAAAAAGGAGGTTAGTAACACCTCCATATTTGTTTCAAAAAGAACATTGTTGTTGACTTTTGATGACGTAAAATTCATAAAGTTACGATGCTTAAAAAGACTTAAAATTTTAAAAAGTTCAAAAATAAAAAACTGTTTACAAAACTGTTTATTTCGTTATATAAATAAATGAAATTATTTATGTTTGAAATTTGTCATTAAAAAGGCCTTGTATAATAAGTCTTGTATATATTTTTTTTTTTCTTTTTCTAAAAAACTAAAATTAGGCGACTTTTCAACGACAAAAAAACAGGCATGTTTACATCCCAGCAAACATGCTATTGCGGGTTTTCAATGGACCTATAAAGGCATTTTCAGCGGACCGCTGTAGTTTTACTCATCGGTTACTTAGTGGACTATTAGTGGCAGCCGCCAAAAGTGGCTGCCACTAATGGTCAACTAAGTAACCTATGAACTTATTGACTTGCCATTAAGATGAGATTATTGACTTACCATTTATAGCGGCTGTCACTAATGGTCCACTAAGAAACCGATTAGCAAAACTCCATTGAACCGCTAAAAGATGCCTATATAGGTCTACTGTAATAATACTGTAAATCATATTATCTTACTTAAAAAAATATAACACTGTAAAAAATAAAAATAAATAAAATACTGTAAATCATAATATCTTACCTAAAAAAATGGAAACCTGTGGGATAAAAAATATAACCCTTGACTGGTTCAAAAACTATCTAAGTAACAGACAACAATATGTTTTTCAGATAATTATAAACGCTCAAAACTACTAAGAGTTGAGTGTGGTGTCCCCAAGGTTCCATTCTTGGACCTCTTCTGTTTCTTCTATATATTAACAACCTTACAAATGCCTCGGAAAAACTTGTTGTAATTATGTTTGCCGATGACACAAACTTATTTTATTCATCGAACTCAATCAAAGACCTTTATGAATGTATGAACAAAGAGCTTACACTTATAACATAAAGTTTTTACTAAATACACAAAAAACAAAATACATATTGTTTTATTCCAAAAAAAAAATAATAATAATATAGCAACTACCCTTCCCTCACTAAAAATAGATAAGGTAAACATTGAAAGAACAAAAACAGCTAAATTTCTTGGAATACTAATTGACGAAAATAT